TTTGGAATCTACTTTGAGGACGGCAGATCCTTACTGAGAGCTCTAATGTTCTAGCAAAATTTTCAAATGAAATGCGTTTGGATTGTTACATTAACATTCATGTCACAAACTTCTTTATCCTACAGCTGGGTTCATCCATCTTAGCTCCCTGTCAGTCATTAAAGTGTAAACACATATTTGTTAAATATAGGCATAAGTAAACATAACATTAAAAAACTCTGAATGTGACAGTTTACCATTAATATAACAGCCGCAACTCTTATGAGAAGGCTTTCCACAAAATTTTAAATTGTCAAAGGGAATTTTTTGCCTGTTCTGCCAAAAGACTATTTGTGTGTCATGTATTGATGTCGGACAAGAAGGTTTTCCATTCAGTCAGCAATTCATCTCAAAGTTGTTTAATGGGGTTTAGGCCATGGCCCTGCGCAGGCCGCTTAAAATTCTCCACACCAAACTTATCAAACCATCTCTTTATAGACTATTTCTGTGCACAGGGGCACAGTCATGTTGGAACAGTGAAGGTCCTTCACCAAACTGTCTTACATGTATTTGTATCCTACAACATTGAATGACTCTTTGTAGGTGCTAAGGGACCCGGCCTCAAACTGTTATCTCTGCACCCTCAAACTTTACAGTAGGCACTGTGTATTCCAGCAGGTAACATTTTCGTTCTCCTGAAATCCTCCATACCCTGATTCTCTCATCAGACGTCGTCTATGTGAATCTGTGATGAAGCAATGTTAGCACTGCTCCTGAGTTCAGTGTTACATAGAAACATAGAATGTGACGGCAGATAAGAACCATTTGGCCCATCTAGTCTGCCCAATTTTCTAAATACTTTCATTAGTCCCTGGCCTTATCTTATAGTTAGGATAGCCTTATGTCTATCCCACGCATGCTTAAACTCCTTTACTGTGTTAACCTCTACCACTTCAGCTGGAAGGCTATTCCATGCATCCACTACCCTCTCAGTAAAGTAATACTTCCTGATATTATTTTTAAACCTTTGTCCCTCTAATTTAAGACTATGCCCTCTTGTTGTGGTAGTTTTTCTTCTTTTAAATATAGTCTCCTCCTTTACTGTGTTGATTCCCTTTATGTATTTAAATGTTTTTATCATATCCCCCCTGTTCGAGTGCTGTAATTCCAGCTGGTGCTTGGCATTGATCATGTTGATGTGACGATTGTGTACAGCTGCTCAGCCATGGAAACTCATTTAATGAAGGCATTGTTTTATGCTCAGAAATTTCTGAACCCTGTACAGAAAGAAAGCAGTATTATAGCAGCCTGAGACATATATAACAATGTTTGGTTTATGTATTTATGTATTTACTTATTATAAAGTGACATGCTGCATTAATCTCTACACAAACAAAATAATGCATTTTTTTTTTTGCTAAACAAAATTTAGTCCATGAAGCTTCACACATTTCAATAATTCCTCACGCCCCTCCATTTGTTATCCAGGAATGTTTATCAGCTTGTAGAAAAAACACATTTATCTGCCATAAGGCCAATTTAACGTTTGTGAATATCCTGAAAAGAGCCTGACTTCCTAACTGGCAGGACGCATATGAGAGGGGCTCCTGAGAAATAACCAATCTCCTGCGAATAACCCCTGATCCAAAGGGGGAATCAACGCTAAACAGCGCTACCCACATCAGGGAGACCCTGGCAAGCATTGTGACACCTTTCCTGGGCACTACCGATACCGGGAGCCCGAGGTGGTTGACTGCGGCCTTCAGGCGTCGGAGCTGGGGAGAGGCAGCCACTCTCCTCTTCTCTGCATCTGCGGAGCGGACCCACTAGCCTTCTACCCCCCCACCCCCCGGACCGGTGGGGTGATCCCGGTCCACTTCTAGTGGGCAACCAAGCAGCAACAGGCACACAGAATGGTGCCGAGCAAGCAGACTGGGCACGGAGCCACACAACATGGCGGACGCCACGTGTTCTTCAAGCAGAGAGAGGCCTGACCTCGCGGCCCAGCTGGATAGCATATTCGCCGCCTTTTGGGAAAAATAAAGCTACGACAAACTACCAGGCAAGAAGCAAATGTTCACCCACCTAAGCCATCACCTCCACGCACCCAGCAGAGACCTGCAGCAGTGAGAGTGAAGAGAGTGGGAACTAAGCGGAGGAGCAAGCAGCCTCTCCCACCTGCACAAGCCAGTCCATGTATGGAGAGAGAGACGGCAGGACCCAGATGCCACAGGCGCAGGGCCGGATTAAGAGCACAGTGGGCCTGGTGCTGACAATAATGATGGGCCTAATTACGGAATCTTATCGACCAAAAACACTAAAACAGTCATACCTCCCAAGCGTCATGTATCTGATGGAGATGGTGCTGGAGGGAAACTCATAGAATGCAGCTATAAGAAAACACATACTCTATGCTAATTTCTCTCTAATTTATGCTTTCATCTTTCAAGTAAATCCATAACCCCTAACAGCAGTGTCCAGTGAAGCAGGAAGTCAATGGGCGGGGTAAAAGGGTGTGCCACTGGCGCGAATCACGTGACAAGACCTGCCAAAAAGGGGGCATGTTTGTCCAAAGAATTGGAAGGTCAGCCTGGCATGAATGCATGTCAGGCTGCCTGCCAATCCTGCAGGCTGTCCAACTAAGGGCATACTATGCAGGCAGCACATTGAGCTTGACATAAATGCGTCTAATAATGCGCTCACTCCATGCTTTCCAAGGACTTTCCCCTAGCACTCGCTGGTTCACTTGTCTTCTTACTAGCAGGCAGAAGTTCCTGATATTTAGTCTGAGAGAGAGAAAAGGTGTATGTAGTGAGTGTAAAAGAAAGGGGACATGCCACAGAGACCAACATCTGCATTACCTAAACTAATTTTAATGTCAGCCAGCCACACAAGTTTTGTTCCCATACATCCCTCTTAAGCTTCCAAACTTAAAGGGACACTATAGTCACCAGAACAACTACAGCTTATTGTATTTGTTCTGGTAAGTAGAAGCATTCCATTCAGGCTTTTTGCAGTAAACACTGTCTTTTCAGAGAAAATAACTCCACTGGCCGCTCCTTAGATGGCTGCTAAAGGTGCTTCATGGGGCAGTACTGCCTAGTCTGCAGCACTGCCATTCAGTGTCTCCATCCTCTGCATGCAGACACTGAACTTTCCTCATAGAGATGCATTGATTCAATTTATCTTTATGAGGAGCTGCTGATTGGCCAGGGCTATGTTGGACTTGTGCTGGCTCTGCCCCTGATCTGCCTAGTTGACAGTCTCAGCCAATCCTATGGGGAAGTATTGTTATTTGCTCAGACCACCACTTCTGAGCCAGCAGCTGCAGACTTGAATACAAGTAATATTTTACTATATTTAGGGAGGCAAGAAGGGGCCAGGGTGGTGGTTTTAACATAATAGGGTCAGAAATACATGATTGTGTTACTGACCCTATAGTGCTCCTTTAAGCAAGAATATGTGAAGAGTAGTTAAGGTTGCCACCTTTCTTGGAAAAAAATACCAGCCTTAATCATTTGTATAATTAATTAGTTATGCGTGACATCACATTATGTAAATCACGAGGAGTGACAGCAGAGAAAATTCTGTAAAATCACCAACAAACTACTCACAGTTGGATTCTGCTGTATAGATGGATTGCTCCCAGTATCTCCCTGTCTCCCAGTGTCTCAGTCTCGCAAGTCACCCACTGTCTCAGTGTTCCTATGTATCACAGTGTCAGTGTCCCCATGTCCCCTAGTCTCCCAGTGTCTGTGTCTCCATTTCTCCCAGTGTCCCAATGTCACTAGGATACTGGGCACACTGAGAGACATGGGGACACTGAGAGACATGGGGACACAGAGACATGGGGACACATAGACATCTAGGGAAACTGGGAGAAATGGGGACACTGAGACACTAGGGACACAGACACTGGGAGACATGGGGACACTGAATCATTTGGGGACACTAAGACACTAGGGACAAAGAGACATGGGAACACAGACACTGGGAGACTAGGGGACACAGACACTAGGGGACACGGAGACAGACACTTGGGGACACTGGGAGACATGGGGACAGTTGTGGACATAGACATGGGGACACTGGGACATATAGGGACACTGGGAGACATGGGGACACCAGGCACACTGAGACACTAGGAACACAAACACTGGGAGACATGGGGACACTAAGACATGGGGACACTAAGACACTAGGGACACAGGCACTGAGAGACTAGGGGGTACTGGGAGACTAGGGGACACTGGCTGGGAGACAGACATTTGGGAACACATGGGGACAGTTGTGGACATAGACATGGGGACACTGGGACATATAGGGACACTGGGACACATGGGCACACTAGGCACACTGAGAGACATGGGACACAGACACTGGGAGACTTGGGGACACTTAGACACTAGGGACACTGGCTGGGGGACATGGGAACATAGTGTCTCCGTGTCCCAATGTCTCCCAATGTCCCTATGTCTCACAGCATCCCCATGTGTCCCATAGTGTCTCAGTGTCCCCATGTTTTCCAGTGTCCCCAGGTCTCCCAGTGTCTGTGTCCCCATGTGTCCTAGTGTCTCAGTGTCCCCTAGTGTCTGTGTCCCCTAGTGTCTCAATGTCCCCATATGTCCCCTAGTGTCACGGCAAGGGTGTATAATTTATTATGACACTATGGAATATCATCTTTTAATGTGATTTCTTGTAGTAAATGGCACAAATTACAGAGATGCTATTGCTGAGGTCAACAGGGGTTACATCTTTTGAAGCTGGGACCCCCACAGAGGGCAGATGACAGAAGGGGTAGTGTGAATGGCATAGGAATGTGAAAAGGATTTTACTGTATGGATGTGAAGTCTGCAAGGTGAGAGGTTCTACACTTGGAAAAGTCTGAATGTCTCTTCATCCATTTGGCCTATACCTTGTAAGTGATGAGTAAATCTCTTTGATATGTAAATGCCATTAGCTTTGTTCTAGTATCATATCCAAAGGAAGGACAAAAACATTCATATTTACCCCCACAGAATAATAATTAAGCCTCATTTTTGTTATATTTGGAATGTGACAAGCGCCATCTTCTAACCAAGTCCAAACATGAGTGGCCTAACTTGACCCTAGGGAAAGGAATTGTGATGTCCGTCCTATTGGATCGTGGGTGGGACGTGCAACATGTCTATGGAATGGGAAAATAATAACAAATTTGTAGATGCAATTATTATTTCTGTGGCAGGTACAAAAAAGAAGATAGAGTCAAATGTTTCCATTTGGATTGACAGTGGTCTGGAACAAAAGAGGTGGTCTGTTATTATTTCTGTAGGTACGCCTTAACTCCACCCCTGGGCAAGACTTGATAAACCACAGGGTATATATCTAATGATCCTGAAGGGTGTTGGTGTACTTGCGTGGGGCCAAGATCTAATTTTGGGTGAGTCACCATCTTTCCTTGCCAGAGACCCCCTGGACAGAAGTTGTACTTTGAAAACCTAAGTGAGCAATTAGGACTTCTGTATTTTATCCTTTTTGTTTTTATCTGTTGTTGGTGTAAATAATTTGTTTATCATATATTTTTATATGCACTGTGACTATCTTTTGCTCATAATAAACATTCATTTATTAAGTTTTGCCTTTGTCTGGTTAAGAATCACGTTACTTGAAGAGACTAGTTAGTGTTTTTGTAATTCCTTGAATATTGTACTAAGTAATATTTGGTGGGTTTTATTGTTGATTTACCTGGGGGACCAAGGCACCCCATTTATAAATTGTCTTGGTGGTGGCAGCGTTAAAATAGTAATAGTTATATTATTATGTTTAAGTGTGGGTGGTGTTAAAAGGGGTATTTTGTCATTATTTCCGGTCTAGTGCAGACAAATAGTGTACTTTAACCCTTTCACCACCACAACTACGTCACGCACACTCTTGGAGTAGGGTGCGTTCGTGACACCTAGTGTCTCAGTGTCCCCTAGTGTCCCCATGTTTTCCAGTGTCCCCAAGTGTCTCAGTGTTCCCAGGTCTCCCAGTGTCTGTGTCTTAGTGTCTCAGTGTCCCCATGTGTACCTACTGCCTTCCCCCCCATCCCTCACTTACCTGAGCTGTAGAGCTGCTGTCTGGACTCTGTGCTGTGTTGCTGCTCCCCCACGGATCAGTGAGTAGTAGAGAGAGGCAGGGATATTCTTCTACTGGCCGGTGCTGGTATTGCAGGGTAATCTCCATTTATTCTGCGAAAATTACCTGCATTTGTATTGCCGGTATTACGGCAATACCGTCATGGCCAGGCAGCCTCACATACCGGCTGTGCCAGTAAAATAGCACTCAGGTGGCAAACCTAAGAGTAGTGTGTAAAAAATAAAAAAATTAAATAAAAATAAAACTTTTTTTTTTTAAATGGACCTATCCCATGGGCCTGGGCCTGGGCCTGGGCCTGGAGCTGCAGCTCCATCAGCCCCTATGTTAATCCGGCCCTGCACAGGTGGGCTTAAAACCCGTAAGCAGCTTCCTTCACCGGCAAGTACCAGAGACCACAAAGGGAACAGGGTGGCCAGTGGAAAGAACTTTCAAAGTGTTGGAGGCACCGGGGGAAACCCCCCCACACTATGTGGGCACTGCTGACCCTGTAGGCCTGCCACTATACCTCCTAAGATGAGCCGCAGCTATGAGGGCGACTGGCATAGGATGACCGAGGCTCCGAAACTCGTGGCCACCGCACCTGACCATCCGATGTTACAGATATGTCAGAATGTTGTGCCCTGAAATATTATTTTACGTTTCTCACTATTATCTTTTGTTCTAGCAACACCTTGCTCTTCTCCTGTAATCTGTTATTATTTCTTTCGACAACTACTGAATAGAGCAGCACAGGTCTATTACCTGTTTAAGCTAAGAAATCAGTTTATGTATAATCAAGCATAGTGTCACTAAGGTAAAGCCTAGAGTAAACGTGAATTCTATCAGTTTTACTGCACTAAACCAGCTGCAACATTAGCTAGAACCGCTAAACTACTAATCATATCAAAAGCGCAGTCTTACTAGATATATCCTTTGTACAGCGCTACGGAATCTGATGGCGCTATATAAATAATAAAATAATAATAACAATATATGTTAAGGCGGAGCCTGTAGTTGTGGAAGGGGTTTACCGGCCTATTTATACCCAGACTTACCTCCACTCAGGGCCAACACCGATCCAGACTACTTTGCGACCACTTCCGGTTCCAGTCTGCCTCAGCGTTGCTCCCACCAGGAACGAAGTACCACACTGACCTAATCCTGGGAGACTACCACCCTTCACCCGCAGACATAGGCAACTTCCAGCCTCACGGAGGGCACTGTTCCCCGCAGGCAATCCCAACAGCCAACCGCAGCATTCTGCCCCCGCCGCCGCTTTGCAGCATTGCATTCAGGCTGTGAGTTTTAAAGGTAAAGTGAGTACCCTTAGATCAGCGTGGCTCTCCCGCGCTACCTTTCGAGTCACGGCATCTGGCTCAACTCCCACTGAGCCCCTGGCCAGTTAACTCCGTATGAATAGATGGCCAACTTACTTGTTACCGCTCCTAGTCACCGCCAGTACTCTGGTCAAGCTGATATCCAACCTTCCCGCAGCTCCCGGGTCTCTGCTTCTTGCTTCCTGGGTCTGGTCGTTCGCCCCGCAAATTGTGAGTTGGCCATGCTGGGCATTACATACATTATGCATTTGACAGTCGAACGGTCACTTACCTTATAGGCGGTCCACGATTCAACCACCTTTCAACCAGTTAGCCACACGTTACATATTCACACCCTCTTGTTCCCCTCACGGACAGCCAGGCATGACAATCTTGTCAATTGTAAATGTAAAATAAATTAGTAAAATGAAGCATAATATAGCATATTCTGTGGTTTAATAACTGTTTAGGTCTATTTACACCACAATTAGGTGCGCTCCTTTCTTAGACAAAGTGCTATCTATCCTCCAACACATACTCGTTGCTTGTTGTCATACGACATTACTATACTAATGCTTTCCAAACATGCTTAAGATGGCCGTTATGTTCACACTTACGTTCTGTTTCCATTTGCATTCCGTGATTTAAACCTTGGCTTTATTAAAATCGGGTTGCATGCGGACAAGTATTGTATACAGTCCTAAATTACTATGTACAGCCTCTCTTGTTACTGGTTCATTCACTAGGTACTGACCTAACTTATTTAAACCACCGAATACATTCCACTCGGTCAGTAACTTCTTTACATTCGGTCCACGATTTGACCACCTTAGCCAATTCAGCCACACGTTACATATTCACATTCAGTGTTCTTTGCATACTGCCCCCTGACAGCCAGCCAGGCATGACAGCCTCGTCATTCATTGTACATTACATGATTGCGTCCCTTAGTTTACCATAAGGGTTGCTATTTACTTAGTCGTGTTCAGTCAAATTACAGTGACGTTGTACCCACACAGCAAGTTCCTTAATTAGCTTTTTTACCTCATTAGCATATTCTGTGGTTTCATATAGGTATATGTTAATCCACTTCCCAATTAGAGGGTTCTTTTCCTAAACAACGCGCTAAATATCCTCCTACAAATGAGCATTGCTTGACTATTGCGACTTTACTAGGTTTTAACGCTTTCCAAATATGCACAATAAGGCCGCTAGGTTCACACTCACGTTCGGCCACCATTTGCATGTCTGGGTTTTGGAGCCTCGGCTTTGTTAGATTCTGGTTGCACATGGGTATGTACAATATACAGTCCTACATTAGCATGTGCATTCTTTTGTGCCCGCCGGTTAGTACACAATACGTGCTGATGGAGTCACTATAATGGTTACTCTGCAATCTCTCGAATCGCGTAATATCTCACCTAATAATTGATCATTCCGTATTCACGCCTAAACTATCCACACGATACCCAGACGGTATCCTACTAAGACATACCTTAGCCCCTCCTCAGTGCATTAAGTTCAATTACTATTCTGCTTACTTGGGTGTGCGTATGCGGCCAGATCCACACATCTGTACAGTAAACACTGAATCCGCACTCTATCTAAAATACATCCAATAAGTCACGTACTATCTGTGTGCGGCCACCTTGCCATCCAAGTATTACTATGGGCTTGGCCTTGTACTGTTTACTTAAGTCACAGCCCTCCCTAGGCCTTCACGACTTACTCTGCACATGACCATCAGGGTGCTTACTGCTACATCCTACTCTTTTCCCCTCCAATTTGGCATGGCATATGGAAGCCGTACGGCTTCCCTGGATTATACACGGCTTTAGCATACCATGTGCAGGATACACCATTCAGTCACACGGCCACTTCTACCCAGCGGACGGCACCCGGGTCATTACAGAGGGACTATATTGTCTGTTTACATACATTTATCCATTCCCCCCTGTCACGGCAAGGGTGTATAATTTATTATGACACTATGGAATATCATCTTTTAATGTGATTTCTTGTAGTAAATGGCACAAATTACAGAGATGCTATTGCTGAGGTCAACAGGGGTTACATCTTTTGAAGCTGGGACCCCCACAGAGGGCAGATGACAGAAGGGGTAGTGTGAATGGCATAGGAATGTGAAAAGGATTTTACTGTATGGATGTGAAGTCTGCAAGGTGAGAGGTTCTACACTTGGAAAAGTCTGAATGTCTCTTCATCCATTTGGCCTATACCTTGTAAGTGATGAGTAAATCTCTTTGATATGTAAATGCCATTAGCTTTGTTCCAGTATCATATCCAAAGGAAGGACAAAAACATTCATATTTACCCCCACAGAATAATAATTAAGCCTAATTTTTGTTATATTTGGAATGTGACAAGCGCCATCTTCTAACCAAGTCCAAACATGAGTGGCCTAACTTGACCCTAGGGAAAGGAATTGTGATGTCCGTCCTATTGGATCGTGGGTGGGACGTGCAACATGTCTATAGAATGGGAAAATAATAACAAATTTGTAGATGCAATTATTATTTCTGTGGCAGGTACAAAAAAGAAGATAGAGTCAAATGTTTCCATTTGGATTGACAGTGGTCTGGAACAAAGGAGGTGGTCAGTTATTATTTCTGTAGGTACGCCTTAACTCCACCCCTGGGCAAGACTTGATAAACCACAGGGTATATATCTAATGATCCTGAAGGGTGTTGGTGTACTTGCTTGGGGCCAAGATCTAATTTTGGGTGAGTCACCATCTTTCCTTGCCAGAGACCCCCTGGACAGAAGTTGTACTTTGAAAACCTAAGTGAGTAATTAGGACTTCTGTATTTTATCCTTTTTGTTTTTATCTGTTGTTGGTGTAAATAATTTGTTTATCATATATTTTTATATGCACTGTGACTATCTTTTGCTCATAATAAACATTCATTTATTAAGTTTTGCCTTTGTCTGGTTAAGAATCACGTTACCTGAAGAGACTAGTTAGTATTTTTATAATTCCTTAAATATTGTACTAAGTAATATTTGGTGGGTTTTATTATTGATTTACCTGGGGGACCAAGGCACCCTATTTATAAATTGTCTTGGTGGTGGCAGCGTTAAAATAGTAATAGTTATATTATTATGTTTAAGTGTGGGTGGTGTTAAAGGGGGATTTTGTCATTAATTCCGGTCTAGTACAGACAAATAGTGTACTTTAACCCTTTCACCACCACAACTACGTCACGCACACTCTTGGAGTAGGGTGCGTTCGTGACAAATTGGTGGCATAGCGGTGGGATAACTAAAAAGATTTTTCATCTTTTTGTACCAGATTTTAGTGTTGCTGGATTTGTTGGTTAATCCAGGCACTAAAAGAAATTGTGTCTCAATTTCCAAAGGCTGAACTCAGTGCATATATAATATATTTACACCTCAACAGTCCCCCCCTTCTCTGTTTTTTCTTTGCTATCTTTTATTTACTAAATGGAGTACCAGACGCAATCCAAGGCAGCGCTAGACCAGCTTTGCCGGGAGAGATCTATTCCCTGTCGGGGGAAAACAAAAGAGGAACTATTACAAGCACTGGTGGACTATGATATGCAACAAGCAGTGCAAAGTGATGCCTCAAACACTGCAGAGGAGATACCTGTAGCTTTTGTCAGTGATGTACCAAGATCTGGAGATCCTCTGGATTGTTACTTACAAACTGTGTTGAAATATGTGGACTCAGCAGACACAAACCAAAGACTACAGCTTATCCTTCAGTATCAGGAGGCTGAGAGAGAGCGCCAAGCTGAGAGAGAGCGCCAAGCTGAGAGGGAGAGAGAGGCTGCAGAGCGGCAGGCTGAGAGAGAGGCCTCCGAGCGACAAGCTGCCAGAGAGCATGAGCTAAAAATGGCTGAGTTAGAGAGGTTGACTGCCTCCCCTATAAGTATTAATTCCAGAGACTCTTCTGCACCCAAACCACGTGCAGAGAATTTTCCAACTTTGGACAAAGATGGTGATTTGGATGTTTTCCTGCGCAGTTTTGAAAAAGTTTGCAGGCAGTACCAGCTACCAAAGGACCAGTGGGCAAAATACCTCACCCCTGGTCTCAGAGGTCCTGCACTGGAAGCATTTGCTGCACTTCCAGCAGAATTTGACCAGGACTATGATGCGATTAAGGTTGCCTTGCAGGAACGGTACAACCTTACTCCTGAGGTGTACCGAAAGAAATTCAGGACTTTGCAAAAGCATCCCACAGAGAGTTATGCAGCGGTTGTGGGGCACCTGGCGACAGCATTCCGACAGTGGACTACAGGGCTGGAGATTACCACTTTGGAAAGTTTGCAAGACCTGTTAATAAAAGAACAGTTTTTGCAGCTCTGCCCAGCTGATGTACAGGAATGGCTGCTGGACCGGAACCCCAAAACAGCATTGGAAGCGGGTAAGCTGGCAGATGTCCACACTGCCAACAGAGCAACAGTGGACCGGAGCAGAGGGTTTGCCAAGGGAACCTCCAGCTGGAGGACCACACCACCACGACTCCCCATCACCAGGCCTAGCGGGCCATCTTTTGTTTCAGCTCCTACCTCAGGGAGAGGGGGAGCTAGTGCCATGTCTGCGCAATGAGATAGTCGCAGATGTTTTATTTGCAACCAAGTGGGGCACATTAGTGTTGCTTGCCCTGTGAAACGGCAGCCAGCATCATCAGCTGGGGAGGGACGCTCCTCAGAACCAACGTCCTCTGTGTTGTTTGTAACCAGATCAGAAGGCAGCAACAATGTGAATCTGCAACCTGCGACAGTTGGAAGAGAGGTAACTGTGGGACTCAGGGACACTGGGGCAGATGTGACTCTTGTGCGTCCAGAGCTAGTGTGCTCTGAGGACTTAATTCCTGGCAGGACTCTAGCAGTTAAAGGAATTGGGGGGGTACGACTTGTAGTGCCAATGGCACGAGTTTATTTGGATTGGGGAGCGGGGAAGGGTCTCAGAAATGTGGGGGTAGATGAGAATATCCCTGCAAATGTATTACTTGGTACTGACTTAGGTAGATTGTTATCCCAGTATGTGCCAGAAAGTATCGTGTGTTATAAACCCAAGCCTCATAGGGGCCCTCCTGTGCAGAGGGCAGTATGTGAAAATGAATGCAGACAATTGTGCTGGGAGGGAGGGCAGAATAAGCATGTGTCCGGGTCTGTGCCTGAACCAGAGGTGTCTGCAATATCATGTGAGAGTGTGCCAAGACAAAGTTGCTGGGAGGGAGGGCAGAATGAGCATGCGTGCCAGGCTGTGCCAAAACCAGAATTGTCTGTGGTATCAGGTGAAAGTTTGCCAGGGCAACTTCGCTGGGAGGGAGGGGAGAATGTGTGTCGATCTGTGCCAGAACCAGGGGTGTCCGTGGAAACTTGTGAAAATGTATGCAGACAATTGTGCTGGGAGGGAGGGCAGACTGAGCATGTGTGCTGGTCTGTGCCTGAACCAGAAGTGTCTGCAATATCATGTGAGAATGTGCCAAGACAAAGTTGCTGGGAGGGAGGGCAGAATGAGCATGTGTGCCAGGCAGGGGCGTACCTAGAGCATTTGGCACCCGGGGCGGATCCTGTGCTTGGCACCCCCCCTCCCAAAAAAAAAAAAAACCTGTAAAAAAAATGTAAAGGTTCTCTCTTTTTTTTTTTTTTACAATTTGTTACAGGCAGACAGGCTCACATACACATTTCCTCCATGCGGCCAGTTTATCAGCTGTTTGCTTGTGTGAGCTGTACTGCCACAGCCCCCTCCAGCCAGGGCCGGTGCAAGGATTTTTGCCGCCCTAGGCAAAAGTAAAGTTTGCCGCCCCCCATGTGACATCACAATGCCCCACCCATATGATTTGCCATGTTAACTAACGCCAGTGCTGCAGTGCCGCCGTGTTTACATTAAAAAGGCCTGCAGGGACAGGCTATAGACACCAGAACCACTACATTAAACGTGGTTTAGGAGTTCTCGAATGTTTCTTTAATGTGAGGTAAATTAGAGCTTAGTGCCACGAATAATATACCACTAGATTGCCTGCACTTTAAAACCAGATAGGGATGATGATGGGCTCTAGCTACAGTCTGGCTCCACTGGTCTGGTGTAGAACAGGCTCTCTGGAGGCGGTTTGTAACTGTGGTCACAAAAATCAATGTTCTGGGAGAACGGGAAGCAGCTCCATTTTTTGGGGTCCCTTTACACAGCTCAAGGTCTGGGTCCCAGGGTCCACCTTCATGTTCCACCAATGAGTTTGTTCACAGGGGGTGGAGTGTGTAGGGGATGTCCTGATATGTGTGTAAGGAATGCATTGTGTGAAAGTGTGTTTGTATGTGTAAGGACTGCAAGGTGTGTTTCTGTGTATGTATGGGATGCATTGAATGTGTGTAAGGGGTGCATTGTGTGTTTCTGTGTGTGTAAGGGATGCATTGTGTGTAACGGTTGCATTGCTTGTGTATGTGTGTCTGTGTGTTTTTCTGTGTGCAAGGGGTGCATTGTGTGCATGTGATGAATGTCAATCTCTCCTCCCGCTCCAATTTCCTTCTCCTCCTCCCAATTTCTCTTTCTCACCCCCCTCCTAATTTCTCAATCACCCCCGCTCCTATTTTCTCTCACCCCCCCTCCTTTCTCTCTCACCCACCTTCTTTTTCTTTCTCACCCACCCCCCTTTTCTCTCTCTCACCCCCCCTTATTTCTCTCTCTCACCCCCCTTATCTCTCTCTCTCACCCACCCCCCTTATTTCTCTCTCACCCCCCC